CTTCCTTTTGATATGTCTTCCTTCCTTTTGATATGTCTTCCTCCCTTTTGATATGTCTTCCTTCCCCGGAGTCGCGCCGCTGCTGCGGAGCGCCGGGGCAATCCAGAGCATATGCATGCCACCCAGTCTTCCACGGCACTGCGGCTCGCGCCGGCATCCTCACATTCCGTGGCTGATTGTAATGAACAAGCGTCCTGCTCGCTAGTGCTCCTGTACATGGCCTTGTTCGTGTCTTGCTGTCATCCTTGAAAACGGCTCAACGAACACTACTGTTGGACTGTCATTGTTGGTTAAGTATCCTGGAACGGTACACAGCGGTAAAATTGCAAATAGAGGGTTGCAGCTGTCGTTGTCATATGCTCGACATCTCGAAATGCCAAAGTATCTATGGGGGATTTCTGTTCGCACATACAAGTATCGAAAGGAAGTGTAACACGACGGCAAATATACAGCCACTGAAGGAGTTGTATTCGAGCAAGTAGGTCGCCAAACTCCGTCTCGCTGCCCTTGGGATCATACTCGACACCAGCCTAGTAGCGATCCTTTGCTAGTTGAAAGGCGTGGTCATCGATGGTAGAGATGTCTCAGCTTCCTTTGTAGACCCATGCCTCTATCATCCGCCGAGCACATGGCGATATAGCGAGTCTAAGTGCCTCCGAAAGAAACCGGCTCATAATCATCGTGGTTGGCCCACGTACCGTCTCGTCGTGGCCTCGGCTGGATGAGAAGTAGTGTTCTAAGTCACGCGGGTGGCATCAACCGCTGTTGACCCGTCCTTGTCACCAGGGACGTATGCCCACCCGAAAAACCTTCATTATCATCGCTACCAGGCGAATCCCCCGTCATTGGTGTCGCCGGATCCTATAATCATATAATCCGATCATCCTCATTCATGTCTTCCTTGCTTTCTCAAGTTCCTGCCTTCAGCTTGTCGAGCTTCCTCGTCTTCGTCGCCACCGAGAGACCTCCGGGCTGTATCGCTCTGGCCACCGATCACAGCTAGGTAAGACTAGCATGTGTTTTCTGTATGCCACAGCCAGAGACCTGCATCATCGAAGGGTCTGTAGAGGATGTAGGTAGAGACCGGCGTCAGACAGTTAACGACAAGCAGAGGCAAGATAGCTGGGCACGATCTGAACGTGAGACACTTGCTGCTTCTGAACAGACGGTGGGAGTGGGAGCAGGCAAACAGTCCCACCAGCACGGCTCATCCTAACAATCATATCTTCAAAGCGAAACGCAAGTAAAGAGTACGCATGCCGGAGGCGTGGTCTTTTCGAGCTGCAGTCGTTATGCCATGAGTGTGATTCGAAGTCATCATGACCAAGGAGGACTTGTCGTGGTCTGAACCACGAAGATACGCGTCTAGAAGTGGTGTACTACTAAGTATGGCAGTATAGATGAGTATCATGGCCATATCAGGTCAACACGTTAAGGGAGCAGGAGCGTCGCAGGAGCGTTCCTGCCCGCGCCAGGTCGACACGTTGCGGGAGCAGGAGCGTCGCAGGAGCGTTCCTGCCCGCGCCAGGTCGACACGTTGCGATAGCAGGAGCGTCGCAGGAGCGTGCCTGCCCGCGCCAGGTCGACACGTTGAGGGAGCAGGAGCCTTCCTGCCCACATATGTAAGTTATACTGTTATAGAGTTACGTTATAAATACCTGGCATGGTGATGTTACTTTAGCTCGCCACTGTCGTAACCTGGAAGATATACCACTTGGAATCCACGTCTTCAGACATCCTCTTCCAATATCGACTGCAGGTTGACTCCCTTATTAAAACATTAGCATGTAGAGCAAAACTTCAGCAAATTGTCTTATTAGAATAAGCCACCATCGATCCTTCACCGCAACGCTCCACAAGGGATCGTTTGCAATGAAAGAAATTCTCTTCTGCGAGACAAAATTGTGCCAAAAATTCCCTAGCAGACCAAGGTCTACTAGGAGTGGTCATAAAGTAGTTTTCAACTAGCAAAAACGTAATCTCGGACGAATCCTCACTGATATACGTAAAGCCCGTGCACCAAGATACAGAAATGGAAGGAGCAAACGAAGAGGATTAGGAAGTTACGAGTAGTTTAAATAAAAAAAGGAGTTGGTCCGTGCGTAACTGCCTCCACTGTAATAATCGCTGTGACCGCCTTTTAGATTATGCCGCTCGACGTAAAGGCTTTTTCTTACATAAGGCAGCCTTATAGCTTAAGACCTCGAATTTATTAAGTCCTTATAAACTAAAGGTAAATAAAACACGTTTTATAAAGTAAAAAAATCCTTATAAATACCCTTTTTTTAACTTATTTAAGAAAGTTTTTTATAATTATTAATTATTATATTACTTTTTATTATATTTAGTTATAAAATAATATATAATTTTAAATATTTTTTTCTTCTTATTTTATATAAGCTTATTAAGTTATATTAACGTATTTATCGAGTTTTAAAATAATTTATTAATGTTTAATTAAATAATTAAAGTTAACTTAATAAATAATTAATAATACTTTTTATTAAGAAATTATTAATTACATTAATTAATTTTAAATATACGTTTTAACTAATTAAAAACTCTTTTATACTTTAATAATTATTTATTAATTAAAATAGATATTAAATATTTATTTAAACTTATTTATTTAAAAAGTTATAATTGTTTTAATATTAACTACTTAATAAGGTTATTTATCTTCGTCGATAATAAAGTGTTAAGAAACTTATCTTAAAAGAGATTGCTTATATAGAGTGAAGATATTCAACAAGCCTCTTTGTTAGCGGAGAAACACATATTGCGGTGGTTGTGCGGTAGCCGATTGTTCCTTTTCACGGATGCCAGGTTATGTTATACTGCTTCAGGTTGATATGTCATGGACTGTACGTTATCTCAGCTCTCGACACGGAAGCGTACTTCTATACGCGAGGTTGGTCAGCCTCTGGTTCCGGGCATAAGTCACTCTATGCATCGCGGCGTGTTTCATTACGACCGCTCTGTTTGTAATCATTCGTCTTTCAAGTTTAGGGCTGGTACGGCAGACTGCATGCTGCGCTGGCCCTGTCAACCTGGAATTTCAAAGCTTTCACTTGGAAGGAAGGCACACTTCACTACATGCTCACTCCAAGGTTCCGCCCATTCAGTCCGTCATAGACATGCCGAGCTTGCGGCTTCCCATTCAACAACAACAACAGCTGCTTCCCGATTGGTGTAGTGGTCAACATTTCGGATTCTCAATGATATCAGCTCTCTACATAAGTCTCCGGAGCCGGGGGTTCGATTCCCTCATCGGGAGTCTCTTTTTGTTGCACCTAGTACCCATCACCAGATGGTTTGGCCCTTGATTTTTGTCAAGATGATTATCTTGCCTCTTCCTCTTCACGCTCTGCCCGGAATACCAGGGGAAACAGGCACGTGTTTTGCGAACCTCCAGCCCACTGACATACTGTTCGACAGTCCTTTCGGTTGTTGGACTGAGCAGAGAAACCGCCTCGCGCAGATCGATCCCTTGGCAAATAAGAACAGAAGACAGTTTAAATGACCATTCACGGGTCCATCAGCCAACAATGAATTGCCAGGATTATGACATAACATCGAGTCTATACCCGCCATATCTCTACACTCGGAGACCCTGGTTTTACCAAGTTGTCCTGTCCCTCCCCTGCCCCCCAGCGCTAAGTCAGATTTGATAGTTCCCCTTTGCTGGTGTTTCTTAATCTTACTTCTGTGGGATACGCCTCCAGATCATTGACGACATGGGTGAACCGGTAGTCGGCCGTAGTGCCATACCAGGGTTCTCGCAGATTCCCGACATCGCCAACCATGAGGATGTTGTCGCCTGGGTATGAAAAATTCTACCCGAACGGCTTTCGGGCTATCCTAGGAGCTCAACTCTAACACGCTGTCCCTTCACCAATTCCACCTACTCCGGTAACGCGGCATTTGTTGATGTTTGTGACCCCCGGCTCGTTGAGCCCGTTGAGTTATGTCTCATTCTCGCTGACTTGGCACTCGATGATAGTGGAAGGTCATTCGTTCATGACAAGGGTAACGTCTTTCTCTCCTTGGGAAACAAATTCCTGCCGCAAATCTGGCAGCACTTTCACCCCAGTGCCAAACTGCCAATACGGCCGACGATGAAAACCGAGTTTGCGATACGGTCGACGGCAGCTTTTCCAAGGGCACCCGTTCCTCGAAACAGGAGCCGGCCGTCACGAGGACAATGACCTCGAACTCTAATGCGGCTCATGGTACAATAGTGGCAGTATATGTGCGCAATCCGTGATACGAGGTTGAGCTTGAGCGCGAGCACTTTTGCCAAGATGAGCTTCAGGATATGTCGTGCTATGGGGATGCCAATAATACTCGGTCCAGTAATTACAAACGACTTCGCCACGATCTCGTCAGCGCAAAAAATGATCAGAACATGAATGGACAAGCGGTGTCAGCGTATGATGCCGAGGCTCTATCTGGGCATTATGTACCTGATGTATCAGGCGTCCAGTGTCGGTAGTTTCGTCCAGTTGACAAGTGGTTCACATGACGCTGAATAATCATCCGTCTTGCGGTATAAGAGTAACACTTCAACTATAATAGCAATAATAGCTCTCGGAGTAGCATAGGCACCCTGACTAGTCAGCGATTCATAGTCCATATACTTAGCCATTCAGCCGATAATTCTACTGGAGCTTCGAGTCGGTCGAGAACCGGGAGCAATCAAGGACATCTCCGAATATGCGGCCAGATGCGAATGGCCCATTGGGGCTAAGGGCATCCCCGATGAACTCTGCAGGAGGTCAGGAAGACCGGACTTGCCGCGAAGTAATATCAAGGCGGATTTCGACACAGTTGCGTCTTTAGAGCCAGGAGCAGATGGTCACGCCATGATACCTATGTCTATGGTTATATATAGTAACTAATGACAAGACGCGACGTTTGACAACAGTGATCAGGAGTCTCCTTGGCTATCAGAATCAGAGGCGATATCGAAAGTGGAAGTCGTACACTGCGCGACCATGTCACTATAAGGTAAGTTCCTAGCTATTCCCTATGAACGACATAACCATCTGTTAGACTCGTCTATCTACAGGGTCAGTGATTTTTGTTGAGCGGCGCCCTTCCAACATCCGTTCAGCACTCTTGACGTTTGGTGAAATTCTTCGAGCCTGAGTCGATCTTATAAGATCACCACAAGTTCTTCATCAGTTGGTGATTTGCAAACAGCTACGCGCAACTACCTGAGCCCGTTTCCCAATAGATGTACAGAGGAAAGCTTGAAAGCTGTCGCGAATGCAGTCAGATGCACAAGAGGAAGAAACAGCTGGAATAAGCTTCTACAACGCGCCCTGTACCACTAGAGTTGACCGGGCTAGTACAAGAGCGTGACTGATTATATAGATATTGGAACTAACAGGGGCTCCAGTGGTAAGCGATGGACGAGAGTAGGACAAAACGGCGCCTTCTATCGTTAAGGTCGTACAGAGACCGCCACCCCCTACAACCCCCTGTGTAGGTCCAGTAGGCACCTGAGGATTAGATGAGTGCGACCTCCAGTGCGAGTGCCGTTAGGATCAAGCCAAGTGACAAGGCACGTCAGCACGGAAGTCTAAGGTACCACACAGGCGGGGTGTAGTCTCTGGGCTGTGAGAGTGTGCACAAGGAGCAATCTGTCCCAGTGTCTCTGGAACAAACTGTCTGTCAAGATCTCTGGTTTAGTCATATCGTGAAGGACGATGCTGCGCAAAGACAGTGGGGAAACTGCCAGCACACGGGCTCGATGTTAGTCAAAACAGATCTCCCGATGAACTTTCACGTTACGCGGGCTACTAAATTCGTCCAATGTCTCTTGTTCCCCCACCGGCGGGCGGCCGAGGTCACGATAGCTGCCAAAGCCGGTTCATCTGACAGCACGAGCTTGTGTCTTCCCAGGTAAAGTCTGTCCATGAGCAGAAGGATTGCATACATATGAGCCCCTTGATCGCCATGCCTAGCAGTGTTGGTAGGAAGAGCAACGAGACATCGCCGAAACACAGGCGACAGATATTTGCAAAGGGGTGCCGGGAAACACGTGCTCACCATGGTTAACCGCTGAATCCCCGAGGTGCAGTCGGGCCATTCGGGCATACCGGCACAACCAATGGCAGATATCAACACTTCTGGCTGATGGAAATGGCTTAGACCATGCAGGAGTACCAGGTCACATCAAGTCGCGGCGCATGCTCACTCAAGCAAGGCGAAACTTTGTGTGATGCTGTTCGTATCTCACGGGCAGAACGGAGATTCACAGAGGCCAAGGATATTTACGCACTGAGGCAAGCTTGGCCATTATGCTCGCGATTGTCTGAGTTCGAATTTGGTACGTGCCGTAGTGAAGGTGGACTTTACCTTACCTTAGTAGCGGTGCTGACAGCGGATAGGTTGTACCAACAGTAAACAAAGCAAACGCCAGTCTGGTAATTGCCGACAGACCGAAGCGTACCTACCATAGAGGTACTTTATGCAAGGAGGAAGGTGTACTGCCGGTGTGTCGTCGTTGCCGCAAACGCTCTTGCCGCAAGGAAAGTCATATGGAAGCGTTTGCCTGCACTGTCCTTGCATGCATGAAACCCGGATTATCCACATGACAGTAGCAGCACGGGTAATTTTTACTCACTCAGTGGGTACGATGCTCACATGGCTATCAAATGGCCTCTCATCACAGATGAACAAACGACTAACCGCCAAGGTTCTCCGAGATAACATGCCCTCTTCCCGAACAAGCACCGCCACATATGACATCTTGCTGCGTCACTTTACCAACCAATTCCATTATGAAACTTCAAGCAGTATACACAGAGTGGGTTTCCTTTCAGATGACCATTTGAGGTGGGCCACAGTACACTATTAGTGGTAGTCTGGTAGGGGCCACCTCGGTATCATCTTGGTTGTGGCGCATAATATGTTGGAAGTCTAGACCCTCCCCACAATATGCTGAGAGTGGTGACGTCAGAGCACATGCAAAGGTCCCCTACGAGCCCCCTCAGCCAACCAATGATGGCCTGTTTCTTGGTCCCATAAGGCGGGAGCTACCTGCAGGGAAAGCTGGGGCCAAATGGCGTTTTGGGAGGCGCTTTCCGTTTGAGGCGAATGCGAAACCTTCAGATCTCGATGTTCCGTTTACAGGAAGAAAGGCCAGTCTGTGTATTCGTCGTTTGCTTCCAATACACATGTAGGACACGTATGACACATGTACACGTTAGGGGCACTGAAATGCCAAAATGCTCTCCACGTACCTTAGTGTAAACTACCAAGATACAGGTACCCTAATCCTTCATTGTGCCCTTTTGTCAGTACACCAACACAGTGCTATTGCAGAAACGATATGCCAGTCAACAGGCCGTGCCTACGTGTAGTGCGGTACCTACCTAGGTGATCCGATATTCCAACCTGGAACTGTGAAACGCTACGGATCCCGAGCAAAGGTCCCTTACCTGAGGTGGGTATTGCCGGCTGTAGTACCTTACACGTGTAGTGTAGGTAGGTAAGGTAGCTTGGGGCGTGTCCGCTCTTAGCGTCATTGAGGACTTCACGTGCTGAACGCAAGTGGTGCTGTGTGAGGTATGTACGTGGGGCTCCCCGCCGGTTCAAGCTCTCCGCCCTGTGACGTCAACCCGAGCATTGTGGGCGTTTGAAGCAGTTCCGAACCGACGAAGGAGTAGGACTGCCTTGAAGGAAGGAGCACTCGGTGACGCACTCAGTGGTCCTCCGCGGCACCTTCCACACAACCAATCGGTGTGCTGGAGCAGTTGCTCCATGACGTAGCTGCGTTGAAGCTGCCAGTTCTCCTCAGGCCCAACTACACACTTCACTCTGCTCTCTTTCGTTTATATAAACCTTCCCATCTCCCACTCCAGTCCATCTTCTTTCTCCATCACACAACAATCTTCACACTCCCATCCAGCAATCAAACAATCAAACAACTTTCTTCACAAATCTCAAACAACCAAACCCATCTTCCAAAATGGATACCATCAAGAACACCGCCAACTACGTCTCTGACAAGGTTCAGGGTATGTTTGCTTCCTGTCAACCCTCACCTCTTCGTTGAGAAGATGTAACTGGTAACTGACATCCATTCTCTCAATAGGCGCCACCGCTTCTGCTTCCAAGGAGGCCAACAAGTCTGTTGCTAAGGACAGCAACGCCCCCGTCAGCTCCCGCGTCTCTGCCGGCGTCGACGCTCTCGGCGACAAGAAGGACGAGAAGAAGCACGACATCTCGGCCGAGGGCAACAAGCAGGCTGCTACCCACTAAAGG